CTATGTGATGGATTCCTCCCAACAGTGGATGAAAATAATCTATATCGCACTCCCAACAGCGGATGGAGTGATATCCTTCACTCGCCTAAGAGAGGACACGTTCCTCCCAACAGCGGATGGAAGAACTGTCTAACCATCACGTCTAAAGGTCCGCTAATCCCCGAAGGGAATCGTCATACCTGCCCTCGGCAGGGATACATAAACATTCATAATCATTCATTTACACGTATCCATTCACTCACGCATGATCAAGAAATCAATATGATTAAATATTATGAGAGACCATACTTGATTTAAATTTACTAGACTATGTTCATTGGTGGCACTATACTATAATGGGCCCACAGCTCCTTTCACAGGTTGCACTTCCAATGTGAACTACTAGCCTAGTTACATCTACTACATGATAACAATCATATCAATATCATAAACTTAAGAAAAGTAAAAAATCAATAATCATTTTCAAATGATATCTTTAGAAAAAACATTTAAGTTCATCAAATCATAAATGCATGAAACATCAATCTCTCAATAGTTCACAATCAATAAAACCCTAATTGGAATAGCTCAATTGACTTAAACCAAGCTCAATTCGATTATGACCTAATAGAACCAACCTAAAATCCTTATAGAACCGGTCTGGAATCACCCTACACTGGTCTAATTTAGATTTGATTGATCTTGATTAGGTCAAGTTGGTTTGAATTAGTCAAGTTAGTCTGGAATCACCCTAAACCAGTTTTAACTTATCAAACCTATTTGATTTAGTCAATTAACGAGCTCAAACCAATAAAGGGAGAGGAAATTGGACTATGTCATATAATACTAGCCTAAACCGAAACAACCAACTTGAGTCTTGGATGGGTCATATGCACTGTGCACATGCCTGTTCTAAGTAATAGGTTGAGTTGAGGTACAACGGGCTAGATAGAGGAGCGACGATGTGTCTAATGCCAATCATATAGCTGGGCAAGCTTAACTTCATGGACTAAGCTAAGCCTCACTTATAAGTTGGGCTGAGCCTTACCACTGAACTAGGCCATGCTTGGCTCGCGAGTTAGTCGTACCTAGACACATGAGTTAGGGTCATACCTGACCACATGGATTGAGTCGTACCTAACCGTATAAGCTGGCTCATGCCTGGCCACATGGGCTGGGTCATACATGGCCACATGAACTAGATCGTACCCAGCCATATGGGTTGGGTCATGCTTGGCCACATAGGTTGGGTCGTACCTTGCCACATGAGCTGACTCCTACCTGGCCACATAGACTAGGACATGTCGAGTCACATGGGTTAGGTTGTATTCAAGTCAGACCTCAATTAGATTCCTCTTATCAAATTGGATTTCAATATCTAAAATTATTAAAGAATAATTCAAATTCATTAATTAAAAATTTTAATTCACGATCTTAAATTTAAAACTAATTACATTATAGAAATTCACACATAATTCTTGAAACTAAGGTATGCAATACCGTACCGTACCGATGTTTCGAGGTTGGCTCGGTACGGTACGATACCGACGTACCGAGCAATACACCAGGGCGTACCAAACGGTACACCACGGCTTACCGGAGCGATTTCCTCTTACTGTAGCACTGTAGCACTGCTACAGTGTATTACTGTAGCACGGTCCGTCCGGTAGCGGAAGGTCCGCGTACCGGTATGCCATCGGACCGGTACGTACCGCCCGTACCATTCGAAATTGCATAACATGCTTGAAACATAGATATATCTAATTAAATAAATTAGAACTATTATGCTAATCCAAAAATAAGAATTTTAATAATTAAATCAATATTAAAATTCACTTAAGTTTAAGAGATCAATATAAATCAAATAATCATTCTAACATCACAAATCAATTGTCATTATTCACTAATCATGAAATTTTGAAATTAAAATATCATTATACATCATAAAATTATAACAATTTCAACATCAAGATTTCAAAACATAAATCAAAGTTAATTAAAAAAGAAAGAATCCTACCTCTCCTCAGCTATCCTTTCCTCGATATCATCTCCTCGGGAAGTCCTCTCCTCAATCCTCTCATTGTTAGGCACGATGAGAAATGAGGGAGTAGTCCCCTTTATATAGGAGAAGATGAGATCTTCTCGAAAGATAAGTAATAATTTAATTTATTTTTATTTTTTTCGCATATAAAGAAAGAAATATAATATTCATTTCTTATAGTTCACATACAAAAATGAAATGTAAACTATTTACTTCCTAACAATCAAATCATTCATTAAAAAATAAAACAATTAATAATTTGATTGATTAGTAGAATTCCTAACTTATCCACATAATTAAGGAAACCAAATTTAATCATTTCCTTAACTATAGTACATAAACATAAAAGTTAATAATATAATAATACATCATTTATAGTAATTAATTTATGTTAAGGGAGAAATTATCAGTGATTACACCAGATGTCCCTGCTATAAATATTTTAGAAATAAAAATATCTATAATTATAACTTAAAATTAACTTCATCACAAACAATGACCCCACAATTTTCTAATAGTTGATAACTAAATAAGCACAAAGCACAATAACACAAATTCATATCAATGGAAGTTTCAGATATACCCATTAAGATATGGAACTCGGTTTTAAAGGGATTACATTTTCATAAATGGACTTATGATGCAAAGAATAAAAATTCTAGGGAAAAAAGTGCCTATGAGTTGGAATGTAGGGAGATGCAATTCAAGATTGGCCAATTTTTCATCATTTGCAAGATTGTCTCTAAAATCTCATAACAAGGACCCAACCAAAAAACCCTTTAATTTTCAAAGCATCAGCCAAAATCAGTTGGATTCACCAAAAATAACCGAATTTGTCTATTCCAGTTCTCTCAGCTAACCATACTTGTCCCAATGTGTTACTGATATGCTCCCACCAATTCTCAACAGGTTACAACCAGTCCTAACCAATGTTTGGGCAAGTCCCAGTTAAAGGTTTAAAAAAGTCAGCAATCCTAATCAAGATTGACTGATTTTAGTTGGGGTTATCCACAGAATGCACAAAAGATGTGATAAACCTGTCGGGTCAATCCTCTTTGACCATAGTCGAAGAGAGAAAGAGAAGAGAAATAGCCAAAGTCACCATGAAGAATGGTGAACCACAATAACAGCAGGATTGACAACTCCTCAAATTGTCATGCGATGAAGACTGCAACAGGTGGAGCAAGACACCAAGAGGAAGTGCTCATGAGAGTAGAAGGCAGACTCTACAAGGGCAAATCCCCATAGAGTCCACATTTTTTATGGAAAAGAAAGATATTGATATTAAATAAAAAATAAACACTAAAATAGTCAACACAAGCTAACATATAGTGCCTCAAATAGGGTTCAGGCAGGCGCCTTCTATTAGGTGTTGCTTAGTCGCATAGTTGGGCCCAAGCGCTTGCCTAGCCCAATTTGAAACCCGATTAAAATTAATTTGGCTTGAAGTGAACCCAAATGTTACAATCAGTTCAATCAAGCCAAGTCCCATCCCCAATCTCATTTCGTGAGCCCATTGGTGAGAGAAACCATGTTCTTGTTCCCTTGATCGCTCGATCTCCTTATTGTTGTTTTCCTATCCTCTTCAGATGCTTTCCCCCCTCCTCTTCACCAACGACCAAAGCTCCCTGTCGCCACCTCTTCAATGATGATTCCCATCACTCCTCCCCATATCCATGCATAAGGCAGCCCTCCATTGGTTGTGTCATGGTGAAAACTCATCCCCATATCCATGCACAAGGCAGCTCTCCCTTTCCCATTCGCTATCACTCTCCCTTTTTTTCCCTCTCCTCCTTCATTGTCGTACCCGTTGAGACTCCTCGACACCCCCCTCCCTTCCACCTCCTCCGTGCTTGTCACCCCCTTCCCACCCCTCTCCTTCCTCCAACTCTCTCTCTCCCTCCTCCGTAGTTGCCCCATCAAGCCTCCTTCATACCACCCCTCCCCCCTCTCCTTCCCTCCTACTGCATGTCTCCCTCCTCCACCATCGCCCCCTACCGAGTGTCCCAACAACCCCCTCCCCCTTCCCTCCTCCATGTTTCTTCCCCCTCGCCCTCTTCTTCCCTGCCACTATCACTCTCCCTCTTTCTCCTCTGCATCCATTATTGCCCCTAAGCCTTCTTGATAATCTCCCTTCCTCTCCCTCCACCTCCTCTTCCTCCTCGCTTTTCCCCTAGAAAGCCCTTGTAGCTGACATTCTCAGTTTCTCACTCTATCTGCTTCTCCCAGTAAACATACCTCCCCACCATTCCCCATTGAATATCATATTATTTGTTCTACCAAATATTGTGTAAATTGAGATGCAGCACACTTTCTGAAATTCTCCCATGATAAGACTTCCATGTTCAGGGATTAATCAGGAAATGACTCAATGAAACATGAAATTTGTTGAAAATTCAACCATCTAATGAGTAACATCACTAAAAAGAGTAACCTAGTGCACAGGGCTTCCGTCAATGCGACATCTGAAGAGATCCAATGATATGTGCAGCCTCACCAATAAAGTACATAGGTTGCTTATGTTGAGAAGTACCACTGGTCAAAAAAAAGAGAGAAATACAACTCAATTTGTCATTCATTTTTTTCCTACGAGCTATCTACAGCCAAGCATTTAAAAATGGGTTCACACTCAAGGACTCCAAAGACCACAGTGAAGATCCTAACAAGATGAATATGCAACAAACAAGTAGCTATATCTTATCAAGTCTCTTGAATCTATATATTGTCTCAGTAAATGCAAACATAATAGATGCAGGAAATAGTTAAACAATGTTCTAAACACGTCCAACTTAGTGATTTGGTGGCAAGCATTACAAGTCAAACCATATATACGTATTTAAAGTACAAAACTAAGCATATACTTAGCACAAAGATGGTGATGCATGCAAGTATATTCCATAAAAGCACAACATATGTATGCAATAAAGTGAGTCATGGACATGGATTACATATGGATGCAGTAACATACATGCAGACTTACCACATGCCGGACGTTCCAATTGTCTACATCCATGTTTATCCGGTTACTAGGTTTCTCAAGGCCTAAGGCAGTCAGTATAGGATTAGATTCTTGGGGGAGAATAAGAGTGTTCACTATCCCATAATTTCCCACCACATGAGGTTGCTGATCATCATGCCGCCATTCACCGTCAACAAAGAACTTATACTGCAGATAATAGTAATAAAGTTCATGAATTGGATGCCAATGTTCATAAGAGCAAATAATAGTATATCAAGAGACATGACATATTTAAAGAATTCAAAATGCATATGATAAGTGGACAACGCGATGTTGACATGGTCCATCCATGTCAAACTCTAATATGACAGATTTATGCTGACCTGATGAATGCCTGGTGTTAAGCTGTAGACAGCTTGAAATATGTTAGGACAATCCTCCGCAGGGAACATTGGATAACGATCAGTCCACCTATGATGAAAATTAAAATAGATAAGCTGTAGCGTTAAAGATAAAATAACAACAAGCTAGCCTGTATTCTCTCAGATTCCAAAGTTTAATACATCATAAGGATTTCACAAGCCAAAATGTCTTGACTAACCAGAAAATTAAAATTGTATATCCCTATATGGATACACGTCAGACAATTACACAAATACAAACAATCATAGTTGCACTGCCTATTTATATGTAGTCCAGTATGGTTGATATGTCATGGCATGCACACTACACTTCCATTCACCACAAATAACCTTGACACTCTGCATGTGTTAAAGAAGAACATTTCCATTTTCAGAACAGGATTGACTTTTATTAATCAAAACCAAGATGTTTAAGAAAAGGAACTTGATGTAGTTTCCCACTGTATGGCTGCAAGCCCTTATATTGAAGCTAACTCTTTAGAATTCTGAGAAGCATATAATCACACTTTCTAACAAAAGATAATTAAACCAGTCATTTTGGTGGTATTTCTTTAATTCACAATTACACAAATAGAAAGCAAAATAAATTTTAAAAAAATGAAACGGAGTGACAAAAGAAAGAGATCCCACCCTGTAAAAGAGCCAATCAGGGAAACCGTTCTCCCACCATAGGGCCAGACAAACTTCGTTGCAATAAGCACCTGACCGGAAATTCCAGCTGTATCGTGTGTACAGTCGGTTCTAGAAGAGAACATCAGGTCAAAACCTTCAGAAATTGATATCGAACAAAAAATGCCCGCAAAACTTCTCCCACAACTTCTGATTTAAAGATCAATCATGCATAGCATGTCATGTTTTACTGCGATGGTTCTGTTACAAAAGCAAATGATGAAGGAACACTTCGTCGGACTAAAGCCCTAAATTTAGCTTCTTCTTGCGATGGTAACTTCCCCGACTTGCAGAGCACCCATTAATGACCACTCCTTTTATGCCAGAAAGTCACAAGGCTACCTACTACCCCTCGAGTTGCCAAAGAACACCTGCAAAGATGCAGTCTTATTCACTAAAATTCCACTCTTCCTTTAACGGAATAAAAAAACATACCAAATTTACCCGATTCGAACTTCTTCTTCATCAAATTTCTACCCCAGTTCAAACCCACGACAGCGGCTCCTCCAACTTCAGACAAGCAAGTAAAGCATAAAAAACTGGCCCTCAAAAGCCGCAATCGATCCAACCCCTCGATTTAATGCGACAAGGGAAACCAAAGAAAGGAATGAAAACCCTAATCTTCGGCAAGAACGAGATAGCGAGAACAAATAAGTGCCTGACGACGAAATCAAGGAGGCCCCTAATCGCAGCGAATGAGAGACGAGGATTAGTGGAGACCGAATTGTGATGGATTGCTCTCGTCGGAGTGACGAGAAAAAGAAAATAGTATTCCATTTCCAAATGGAATATTCTTTTTTTTTTTAGTTCCGACTGCAGGGGGTAGTTGAAATGCGACGGGGCGCGTCACAAGCACGTCGAGGGGATCAGGACCGCGATCCCCAGATCGTGCGGTGGATGTTCCATGCCTTCTGAAACAGCTACTGCGTCCCGGACAGCTGTTTTTCTGTTATAGTTAAGTAATGCGGGGACATGGCGGAGCTTCAGTGGCAAATTGCCGAAAACGTGAGGCGGGCCCTAGGCGGAGCCAGCTTATTCCCAATGAAGAGTTCCCACGTCACCACGTGCTGTATAGGCCAACCGAAGTATCACATTTGGAACAAGTTATAAATTCGAGTCGTTAAATGCATGGATAAAAAGCAGTCGTTCTTTAACAGGGTCCAACTAATTTAGCTTTATAATCTTAGTTTTGTTAACTCAACGAGTCATTTCACTAATTTAAAACTATATAAGTAAATATACACATACATAAATATAAATGTATATATATACATGTATGTATATATATAAATATATATACACATATATATACATATATATACATATATATATACATATATATACATATATATGTATATATATACATATATATGTGTATATATATATATATATATACATATATATATATATGTATTTATATATATATATTTATATATATATGTATATAAATGTATAAGTATATGTATATACATATACATATTCATATATAACATATATGTATACATATGTATACATATATGTATTATATATATGTATGTATACATATATATATGTATGTATACATATATATATATGTATATATATATATTATACATATATACTCAATTGGTTGCCTCTTTATATACCTCAACTCAATGGTTGCCTCCTTATATACCTCAACTCAATGGTGCATCTGAAATGAGGAATCGTACACTGTTAGACATGGTGCGGTCTATGATGAGCTTCGTCGATCTACCCATCTCATTATGGGGATACATCATAGAGACGGCATCTTACCTTCTGAACAGAATTCAAACTTAGTCGGTAGTGTCTACAACATATGAGATATGGAAAAGGAAGAAGCTCAATATTAAGGTTATTAAGATTTGAGGCTACCCTACTCACGTTAAAAAATACAACCCCGATAAGTTGGAATCAAGGATAGAGTAGTGCAAGTTTGTGGGATACCCCAAGAAAACTTGTGGGTATTATTTCTATCATCCCGAGAACCAAAAGTTTTGTAGCTAAGAGAGCGGTGTTCCTTAAGAAGAAACACATTTTTAGACAGTGGGAGTGTGATAGAGTTAAGCAAGGTTGGAGAACCTAACTCAAGCACCACTCCACAACTCGAGTCTATTTAAGTACCTAGCACATAAGTTCCGACTTTACATAGGTCCAACAGAGTATCCCAACCTCTTGAGAGATATGTGAGATATATTGAGGAGAGAATGTTGAGGATATTAATCATCCAACCTACGAGGAGGCTATTACTACTAGTTATAGGTGCCCTGTAAGTCAATCACGTGAGTGATGGCACGTGTGACTTGACACGTATTCTTTTTGCTTATTATATTTTTGATATTTA